GTGAGGAAGAGGTGACTGGGGACGGGGTAGAGGATATGATTTGTAATGAGACAGACAGAGAGACAGAGGGAGACAGAGGGAGACAGACAGACAGAGAGACAGAGGGAGAAAGATAGGAGAGAGAGAGACAGACAGAGAGACAGACAGAGAAAAGGACACACAGACAGACAAACACAGCTAAAACAAACAGTAAAACAAACACAATATTAACTTAGCTGTAAATAAGAAGCTATAAAACATAAAATAAAAATACAATTGTAAATAATGACGTGGATCATATCTGTAAATGAAATGATTAAAAAAACCTTGTAAATGGACCTGTAAATGAAACTAATATCCTCGTCTTCTTAATGTTTACCAACTTGTTTACACACTCATAAAATTACTTGTGTAAATACTTGTTAATAAATGTGTAAATACTTGTTAATAAATGTGTAAATACTTGTAAACGTAAACACAAGTAATAATTTTTTTTAGAATTTTGGAAAGTAAAAAAAAAATGGAAATTGTGGTTAGTTAAGTGATAGGTTATGACTGGTAGTTTAGGGGGGTAGTGGTAGTTAGGGTAGTGGTGGTAGTTAAATGGTAGGTAATGACTGGTAGTTCAAGGAGTAGTGGTAGTTAGTGGTTGGTGATGGTAGTTAAGGTAATGGTAGTATTTAAGTGGTAATAGTTAGTGGTGGTAGAGGTAGTAGGGTGGTAGTAGTGGAGGCAAGGGTAGTAAGGAAGTAGAGTGTAAGGTAGTTAGGAGTGTAAGTGGTAGTTAGAGGTGAGTGGTAGTTATAGGGCAAGTGGTAGTTATGGGTAAGTAAGAGGTAATGTATAGGTGGTAAGTGGTAGTTAAGGTCTGTGGTAGTTATAGGTATAAGTGGTGGTTATAGGTGTAAAGGGTAGTTACTGGCGGTAAGTGGTGGTTATAGGAGTAAGTGGTAGTTAGAGGCGTGATGGTAGTTAGAGGCGGTAAGTGGAGTTAAGGTAAGTGGGAGTTATAGGAGTAAGTGGTAGTTGAGGCGGTAAGTGGTAGTTATAGGGAGTAAGTGGGAGTTATAACGAGGAGCTACAAGTGGGAGTTATAGATAGTGAAGAAGAAAGATATAAATGAATAATGATCTTTTGTATTTTGTTAAAGAATAAACTAGGAAAATTTTATCACAATTTATACTCTGTAAACTGGTGTGTGTGTGTGTGTGTGTGTGTGTGTGTGTGTGTGTGAGAGAGAGAGTTTCCCATCTTTCACATAGGCTTCTTCTCTCCCTCACACACACACACCTGTCAAAACTCATTACCTGGTCAGAGAACAATTAACAGGTGTTGGTAAACATATATATTACTAATTAATATATTTATATACACAAAAAATAAATCACTAAATCACCCGTTGAGAATTAATCTGTAAGGAATTATTAGTTATTAAAGACAGACAGACAGACAGACAGACAGACACACGCATCTTAAATTGACGACGAACTTCAAAATTATCGGAATTAAAACAATTTCTTTCTTAATTATAATACTAAAGTCATTTCAATTATTCAGAGTCAACTTTGCAGAAAGATACAATTGTGAATAAACTACAAAAAATATCTCCAAACTATTAGCACTCAAATTGGAGGTGTATAATAGTGAATAAACTCCAAAGATGAATGTTTGAATATCACCACAAGTTATGAAGATTGGTGAGTGGTGGTGGTGAGTGGTGGTGAGTGGTGGTGAGTGGTGGTGAGTGGTGGTGAGTGGTGGTGAGTGGTGGTGGTGAGTGGTGGTGAGTGGGAGTGGTGGTTAGTGGTGTATAGTGGGAGTGGTGGAAGGAGTGGTGGTGGTGAGTAGGTGAGGTGTAAGTGTAGAGTGGTGGTGAGTGGTGGTGGTGAGTGGTGGTGGCGAGTGGTGGTAAGTGGTGGTGAGTGGTGGTGAGATCACTACCGCTGAGGCATTGAAATACTGAGTGGAGGTCTGGAAAACTAGCCGCCGCCACTTAAATCTTCCCCATTAAGTGGATATTACAGATTAAGTGGCTCATGTAAGATACAGAATAAATATAGAAGGTATGGGATTAATATTACATAGATTCTGTAGTGTTATTTTGTTGTTTAATTCAGTTTCATGTATAGAGGAAGAATGGCTGTGAATTTATCGTGAACTGTGAGTGTTACTGATGTGTTGGTAAGGTTAAGGCGTCAGGGATGTAGTTATTAATGATATATTTCTCTGTTCGCTTATAATTGAAGTCTTTTTTGGGGTGGCTACACGCGCCGCACAATATGAAGTCAAAGTGTGAATGCTATGAACCTACATCCACTAAGGTGTCCTAATTATCACAATTATCCTTCTACAACATTGGTAATCTTTCACAACAACACTAATATACACTACATCATCACAGTAACACATAGCAGCAACACAACTGGGGGAATTCTTGTATAGTAACACACACAGCAACACAACTGGGGGAATTTCTGTCTCTCTCTCTTTCAGGAACACTTTTAACACAGGTCACACGTACCGGTAGTGGCCAAGCCGAGAAGGAAGAGAGCAACTGCGTTTCTCATCTTGCTGGAATTACAACGAACTGTGTGTGTGTGATGCTTCCCCCCGCCTCGCTCACTCCTTTATACCCGCCCAGCCGCCCACCATTGACAGCGCATGCGCAATTCAACTCGACTTTCAATTTACGAGTTACTTTACTGACTTTTCCATCCAACTCATTTATTATCCGCCTTACAGTATTCAATTATATTTAAATTTTCTCCATTTATCGTCATGAACGTATAGTGTCGAGGTGTTAATAAGTGTGAATGAAAGTAATGTAGCTGAGGTAAAAGTAGGGAAGGGGGGAGGGAAGGAGGCGGAGGAGGGGGGATGGTGGGTGGGAAGGATGCTGGGAGGGAGGGAGGGAGGGAAGGAGGGGGTGGAGGGAGAGGGAGGGGGTGGAGGAGGGAGTGGGAGGGTGGGAAGGATGCTGGGAGGGGAGGGAGGGAGGGAAGTAGTTATCCTTGGTGGGAGGGACTTCTTCGTTAGTTGCCGGCCGGTTCGTCGCCTCCCGTGAAAAGCATCATCTGCTGAGGAACCACCGTGTTAAGCTGTGTTATGGTAGTTAAGATGCGTTATGGCAGTTAAGCTGTGTTATGGTAGTTAAGCTGCGTTATGGTAGTCGATGTTATGGTAGTTAAGCTGCGTTATGGTAGTTAAGCTGCGTTATGGTAGTTAAGCTGTGTTATAGTAGTTAAGCTATGTTATGGTAGTCAAGCTGTGTTATGAGATTTAAGCTGTGTTATGGGAATACATCAATATCCTTCAATAATATCTTAGGTTAGGTCAGGTCAGGTTAGGTCAGGTTCACACAAACAACTTATCTCTTCTATAATATAAACAAAACAAACTATTGGTGTCCCGAAGGTCTGCTCACGCCGCCTCCCGACCCACCAGCCTCGGGTCCTACAAGACAATTCATTTTATAAATATTTTCCAGAGACTCGGGAGGTTAAGCAAGACTCAACCAAGTGTTTCCGGTATTTGTACTCCTAGGACCTGAATTTTTATAGTGAAAGCTCTATTAACGGACTATATGGAGCTGACAGTCCGTTATATCGAGGATCCAATTGATGTTAAACCTCCATATTACGGATTATATAGAGAGAAGTCCGTTATATGGAGAGAGAAGTCCGTTATATGGAGGCTTCACATGACCAGCACTTCTATCAATAAAGGTTAAGTTCCCCAGGAGTTACGTCACACACACACACACACACACACACACACACACACACACACACACACACACACACACACACACACACTTGAACAATTCTTTTATTAATGAAACGTAAAAAATAAATGAAAAATTGAACAACATTAAACAGAGAATTTAAGACTAATAATATTTTTGGTAATTTATTCCTTAAAACAATAAAATAAACATATGATTTTGATAGAACTTTCTTATTCAATTATTCATTATTTAGTGATTTATTTATGTATACATTATCCAGATAGTCGTAATGTATCTAAATATTTGTATAATGAATGACATATATTACAACATTTGCGTAAAGTATAAATAGTATAGGCTTTACTTTTAATGTTTTTACTTTTTTACTTTTTCATTTTACATTTTCACATTTTTTTTACATATTTACTTTTTTTACATTGGGGAAACACATCCTAGGGGAGGGACCGTGGTGTAGGGAGATGGTTGTGTGGTGGTGAGCGGTGGTGTTCCATGGGTGAGGGCCCGCTGCTAGGCTCTTGTGTTTCTTGTGGTGAGCAGTGGTGTTCCATGGGTGAGGTCGCTGCTAGACTCTTGTGTTTCTTGTGGTGGTGGCAGTGGTGTTCCATGGGTGAGGTCGCTGCTAGACTCTTGTGTTTCTTGTGGTGGTGAGCAGTGGTGTTCCATGGGTGAGGTCGCTGCTAGACTCTTGTGTTTCTTGTGGTGAGCAGTGGTGTTCCATGGGTGAGGGCGCCTGCTGGGCTCTTGTGTTCTTATGGTGAGCGGTGGTGTTCCATGGGTGAGGTCGCTGCTAGGCTGTGTTTCTTGTGGTGGTGAGCGGTGGTGTTCCATGGTGAGGTCCTGCCTAGACTCTTGTGTTTCTTGTGGTGGTGAGCAGGTGGTGTTCCATGGGTGAGGGTCGCTGCTAGGCTCTTGTGTTTCTTGTGGTGGTGAGCGGTGGTGTTCCATGGGTAGGGAGTCGCTGCTAGGCTCTTGTGTTTCTTGTGGTGGTGAGCAGTGGTGTTCCATGGGTGAAAGGTTGCTGCTAGGCTCTTGTGTTCTTGTGGTGGTGAGCAGTGGTGTTCCATGGGTGAGGAGCCGCTGCTAGGCTCTTGTGTTTCTTGTGGTGGTGAGCAGGTGGTGTTCCATGGGTGAGGTCGCTGCTAGGCTCTTGTGTTTCTTGTGGTGGTGAGCGGTGGTGTTCCATGGGTGAGGTCGCTGCTAGGCTCTTGTGTTTCTTGTGGTGGTGAGCGGTGGTGTTCCATGGGTGAGGTCGCTGCTAGGCTCTTGTGTTTCTTGTGGTGGTGAGCGGTGGTGTTCCATGGGTGAGGGTCGCTGCTAGGCTCTTGTGTTTCTTTTGGTGGTGAGCAGTGGTGTTCCATGGGTGAGGTCGCTGCTAGACTCTTGTGTGTTTCTTGTGGTGGTGAGCATTGGTGTTCCATGGGTGAGGTCGCTGCTAGGCTCTTGTGTTTCTTGTGGTGAGCAGTGGTGTTCCATGGGTGAGGTCGCTCCTAGGCTCTTGTGTTTCTTGTGGTGGTGAGCGGTGGTGTTCCATGGGTGAGGTCGCTGCTAGACTCTTGTGTTCTTGTGGTGGTGACGGTGGTGTTCCATGGGTGAGGTCGCTGCTAGGCTCTTGTGTTTCTTGTGGTGGTGAGCGGTGGTGTTCCATGGGTGAGGTCGCTGCTAGGCTCTTGTGTTTCTTGTGGTGGTGAGCGGTGGTGTTCCATGGGTGAGGTCGCTGCTAGACTCTTGTGTTCTTGTGGTGGTGAGCGGTGGTGTTCCATGGGTGGTCTCATGCTAGACTCTTGTGTTTCTTGTGGTGAGCAGTGGTGTTCCATGGGTGAGGTCGCTGCTAGGCTCTTGTGTTTCTTGTGGTGGTGGTGGTGGTGTTCCATGGGTGGTCTGCTAGACTCTTGTGTTTCTTGTGGTGGTGAGCGGTGGTGTTCCATGGGTGAGGGTCGCTGCTAGACTCTTGTGTTTCTTGTGGTGAGCAGTGGTGTTCCATGGGTGAGGTCGCTGCTAGGCTCTTGTGTTTCTTGTGGTGGTGAGCGGTGGTGTTCCATGGGTAGGGTCGCTGCTAGACTCTTGTGTTTCTTGTGGTGGTGAGCGGTGGTGTTCCATGGGTGAGGGTGCTGCTAGACTCTTGTGTTTCTTGTGGTGAGCGGTGGTGTTCCATGGGTGAGGGTCGCTGCTAGGCTCTTGTGTTTCTTGTTCAATAGCCACAATACCGGAAATATTTTGATTAATAGCAGTGAGAGGAATACTGGTGGGGGCAGCAGTGTTCCAGATCTAGTGGTATTGGTGGTGGTAGCAGTGGTGGTGAGTGGTGGTAGTAGTGGTGGTAGTAGTGGTAGTGAGTGGTAGTAGTAGTGGTAGTAGTAGTAGTAGTGAAGATATAACGTAAACAACCATCTAGAAAAAATATCTTGTTATCCCTCTATTTAACGGACTATATTGAGAGGAAAGTCCGTTATATCAAGGGTCAGTAGATGTAAAAAATCCCCTATAACGGATTAAATGGAAGTGAAACACACACACACACACACACACACACACACACACACAGTAGTGCTATGCTTGCCTCTACAGCATGATGGCAGTGGTCCTCTTGTTGTCAGTGACGTCATGTTATAATAGTGCATCACCAACAACAACAACAACAACCAACAACAACAACAACTAAGGGGTTTTTCGAAGAAGGTAATGAACTCTAGTGTTTATTTGTGTGACTTATCTTTCGTTCTTCCTGCCCATACACACACACACACACACACACACACACACACACACACACACACACACAGATGACAACCTTGAGGTAACACTCGGGTGACATACAGCTGGCAGTGATACTTGTTGGGTGTGTGGGTGGATGACACTGGATGGATGAGTCGATGGGGCGCTGTTTTGGTGGGTGACTGGTGGGTGTGGGGTGGTGGGTGAGACATACAGAGACAACATGAAATAACAAATAAAATCACAGAAAAACAAAATCTCTCTAAAATAACAGAAAAAAAACACACTAAGATTTTATTTACCATTTTATATAACACACTGACGTACCAATACAGTGCTATACCACCTATTTTTTTAAAGGCTACTACCAAACACACTGAGTATAGGATATTAACCCTTAACGTATATGGAGAAAGGACTAATATTAATCCTTCAGTCAATGATAGAATGAAAGAAATTATATAGAATGAAGGAGGGGGTGGGGGGGTGGGGGAGTGGGGGGTGGGGGAGGTAGTGAGAGGTGTTGGGTGAGACATTCCTGGTGAGAGAATCTAATAATGTAGCCTCCATGACCCCCCACACACACACACACCACCCACACACACACACACACACACACACACACACACACACCCCACACCCACACACACACACACACACACACACACACACACACCTCTAGTGACTCAGTACTGTTCTCAGGTGACAACAAGAGAACTGATGATGAAGTTTATTTAATAGTAAAGATCCTTAGTGAAGGTTGAGGACAGGTACAGTGAAACCTCTATATAACGGACTATATATTCCGTTAAATGGAGGGTTTCACCTCTAATGGATCCTCTATATAACGGACTTACCTCTGTATACAGTAATCCGTTATAGGGAGTTTTCACATCTAATGGACCCTCGATATAACGGATTTTCTTCTCCATATAGTCCGTTAAATCGAGGTTTCGCTGTATGTTTACGTGGCGGGGAAAGGTCATCAACGTGGGTCATATAAGAGACCAAGTCCTAACAAGTAAACAACAACAACAACAAACACAAACAACAACACAAAAACAAGAAAAATAACAAAGAAAAAACAATAATTACAAAACAAAACAACAAAACAAAACAAACAACAAACAAACAAAACAAAAACAAACAACAACAAAAATCAA